CAGGAGAAAGAAACGGTATTTATAAATCGGGAGGAAGCGCCTGTGCCACCATCATCATTGTGTCTGCATATGCATTTCATCGTCAATTAAGCTGCAAGCATGACACTATGCTAAATTTAACGATGTCAGAATTAATTTTCATCGCACAAGATCAATCAAAACCATTCCACGATGTCACGTACCACCTGAACGGAAAATGACGATGAATCAGATACAAAGAAGGAAGATTAAAAAACTGGTGGACGATATTGAAAATGAACAGAAAACATCATCCGATAATAAGAGAAAATTCGGCGAAATTTTTTACGGACTTTTATGCGGATATCTTCAGTGCATAACCGGATAATGGTATTTATTACTCTCAGAGGGTTTTAATACCTTGTGTAACGAAAACATGGTTCAAATTTGACTGTTTTAAAATTTACGTAATCACGAATAGCTTCTTCGGCAGGTTTCTGTTGTTGTCTGTACAGATCATTACCTTAAGCCTTTTGCATAAGCGGATATAGTTAGTGATGTCCGCTGTATCCACAGATTTTCAACATTTATTATAAGTCACTGGTTAATACATATGGTGCTGTCAAAGAAATATTTCTTTCTGAAAGCAGATCTACTTCTACATTGTTCCTCCATGTTGCCTGCTTGTTTCCTGTAGGCATATGCCGTGGTTAGGATCCCACACAAAAAGTTAACGGGCTGACATAAATGGTGCATGCTCAAGCAGTTTGTTAAGAGGGCCAATTTATTCTTAATTTCCACATTTACCGAGGTCGCCTGTGCCCGGAATGAATAGAGTCGTTTCTTACGTGGTCCTGCCATTCAAACCCCAAGCTGCGTCGAAGGCAACGTTGCCGAATGCAGCTCAACTGCCTTTCTTGCTCCTTCGTTAAAACATCTATCCCCATGCTGTGGGACGAGTAACTCCCTTTTCATCCTATGTATTGGACAGATTTCTAAAAGCACTTCAGGATGAGACCATCATGCAATTTAACTCTGGCTGGAAAGTGCCGTCGTTGGAGATGATGGAACGAAGCTTCTTAAACTGGTCAACTTCCTGAAGAGCTTCTTTTCCCAGTTCTCTTTGTAGATCAGCTGTGCCAACTGGGTTCTTTATAACCTTTGATTTCCAGGCATTAAGGAAGAAGCCACCCTTTCTCAGCTGTTTTATGCTGAATCTAAGGGACAGAGGCTGCTTCTCTAACCAAAACAATACCATTTGCATACTCCAAACAAGCAATATATATCTAGCCGGATATTTTGAAATGCGCCTTTAGGTAGAAATTCAAAGCAGGATATTACAACGTAACTACCTATGACCACGTAAAGATTCTGGTTTATGGTGAACTTCGGAAATACACCATTCACAACACAAGTACAATTAAAGCACAGGAATGCGAGATGACGGATTTAACTGGCGCAAAACTCCGATAAAGCAGCATTTAGTTGTCAGAAGCATTTATTCACACCACGGCAAAACGACATTTGAGTACATGCAGAGCGAATTGCGTTTCGAATCATTTTCTCCCCTGGACCAATCTCATCCTCATCATGAACAATGTTACAGAAAGTACAGAAAGTGATACTCCTTATCAGCTACCGTAAAATATGATAATGTGGAGTTAGCATGGATTATACCAGCGTTTGTGAAATGATACATAATCCTTACACTAAATTAGCTGGGTTCCCAGCGGTGCAAACACCTGATTCAAAGTTAATGAAACATATGGTGCATGAAAACTTACTACGAAACGGAATCTGCTACGCACATGATAACCACACGGTTGTCCATGTGTAGAAGGGAAACAGAATGATATGCTGCATATGTAAGCTTAACGTTCAAAAGAAAACGACTGGCGACAAACTAGATCTTTTCTTTCGTTCGAAATTTGTGACCTGACTTACTGGCAAATATTAAGTAAAAGGCAATGTGCCAAATCCTGGTCATCATTGTCTTGCTAACATGTCATCTCGCGTATTCCTCACAAGCCCTTACGGGATGTAGGAAAGACGCTACTTCACTAGGAGTTCCAGCTTTTTTCACAGAATGCAAAGAAAAGTTTAAGACCTATGAAAGATACGAACAAACTCAGTGAAATTAAAATCTGCTGAGATTCACCCTCTTTATTTGCGAACTAGAAAAAAGGTGAAAGGCGTAACAGAGAGAAAATAAGCCTATTTTTCCAAATAAAGCAGTAGAACCTCACATTTAAAACATGGAAACGCATACTGCACGAAACTTAACCATTTAATATCAACTCGTTTGAAAATCTGAAGTAAACCTGAAATATAATTCCGCTTTTTAGGCCTTCGTACTACCTTACTAACACGCAATCAGAGTACAAAGTACGAAGAACAGAAGCACATTCATGATTCACTTACCACTGGCTGGCCTCCCTGAAACGACGTCATCATAAGCACTTCAACTATAGATACAGTAAAACGGAGGGCCAAAGCCCCCGGGGTTAAAACCCTAAATCAGCACACAATCATGCATCGTCATCTCGCAAGAAGGGTGGCAGCAATATGTGTTTATATATGCTGTGACTGCCGTGACGTCATGGAACCGAGACGTTTTGCCGTGTTATAGGTTACGCTAAAATGTCCTATCTATGAGCGACAGTACACACGAACAGGTCACCTCCTACTACAGTAAGTTTCTAATTTATTCTGATTATTTAAATAAATACCGTATCTTACGTAATATACTTACAGTTTAAAACACACACACACGTGTTGTAAAATTTCGCGCTCTAAACTATAAGAGCTGAACCTGTATTGTGATATCCTTTGCATTCACAATTTTTAAACCCCTTAATCGTAAGGAAATGGTTTTTGCATCGTAGAAGGAAATTCTTTTGATTAAAGAACTGGCCCAACCTCGCTTCAATATGTTGCATACTGTCCTGTTGCTAAGTACCTTTCGCTTTTCGGCTCTCACACGAGAAACTCATGGACTGGAGCAAAATGGACCGTAACCGAAGGTTAAGAGAATTTAGACAGTAGAATGACCCGTATACACTAAGTCTCGCCGTTACAAGCGCTTTTCGAATGACACTAAGAAATGTGCTGCAACAGATGTAGTATTCAACTCTCAGGCATCTATGTCTCAAAGAGGTTCTTACGTATTTCATCACGCTCACACACGACTGTGATTAGTGCGAAGTCCCAAAGAAAGAAAGGTTTTTAAGATATTTGCATCCTTCTTTCAAGTTGTTTTATTTAATCAAGGCAAGCACCAGTCTCTGAGTTCATTTTATGGCTTTTTCAGACCAGCGGTTTGCAGTAGCTGCTCCGTTCATTACCCGGTTGTACTATGGCAGTTCCAGAATGCTGTGCAGAAAATGTTATGGCAATTTCTTTCAATGAACATCATGAAGTTTCATGAGACTTCAATGAGGCAGATATATCGAGACGGCACATGAGCATGGCTGCTTTCTGAGTGATTATGTTCGTCTCCTTTTTCAGAGTCTGACCCTTCAATACGTAATGGAGCATAAAATAATTCGTTAATGCCAGTCTAATATGCTTATTCATCTCAGGATCACCGTCACCATTGTCAATCAACACTGATTGAATGTACTTGAAATAGTCCAATTCATCTATTATAAGCACTTGGATCACTTATAAAATCGGTAATCAATGAAGAATTACAGTCAGCCTATTGCATTTTTTTCTAGCAGGGAATTTCGGTCTTATGAATTGGTCGCCTCTTGTCGTGGTTGACACACAATTCGCCCGCATAGGTTCCAGTGGACGATGTCTCGCGTCGGTATGTCGAACTACGGCTTATAAACTAACCTCCTATAGCTTTGCACATGTGTGTGCTGCTGGATGCAACAATGATTTTCAAGGCTGTCGAAAGATGAGGAGATCTAGGTGATGCATTGGTTTAACAAGCGATCGCTGTTGTTGTTTTCAACACCTCTCCCATGCCAGGACAATTTATTCCAGCATATTGGCCTCCGGCACAAAAGTCATCATTTCGTAGTTAATACCCAATCATTCTTTTTTTTCCATAGAAATCATCATCAAAAGTCGTAGGTCCCTCTAAATGAAGCTTAATGCCGATCATAAAAATGGTTTCAAATGAAGAATTATTAGTCAAGAATTAGAATCGAAAACCTAAAGAAATATTTATAAGAATTATTGATACTGCAGCTGCATATTTCAATGTTTGCATGCATATGATCATCGCCTTAAAAGTTATCTTGAGCAGAACTCCCGTTAGGTGATGGTCATTACTCTCGCAGTATTACAACAGTTCCGTTGTAAGGAGCTGTATCATTTATAGTGCTTAATATGGAATCAGGAAGTATGTGAATCACAGTAAACAATTTAGCGATAAGGAATCCTAAATTCTTCTTGTCCAAGAACAGGTTGAACTCAAAGATACGTCTTTTGCCCCAGGTGGCTTAGAAGAAATATTTAAGCAGGCCACTGTCCGATAACTTTCAAGCACCTCCTTGAAAATTAGGTGCTCATCAATTTGTTTTCTAGAGTCTCTTCCTGCTCATCACAAATGCCTAAATTTCAAACACCGAAATCAGTAAAATGGACAAATAATTTTTTCTTGAGAAAAATTCACAGCATATCAGGCACAGTGCCCTCCGATGACTTAGGAAAGCTACTCAATGCTGCAATGTTGCTGTTGCTGAACATAATCTAGGATACGTTATGACATGTTACACAGCTAGAACTTAAGCCGGAAATCAGACAGCGGAACCGTGAGATACTAATTGTTTTTGTAACAAAGTTGAAACATGGATATTCGAATATGTAAAATGTAGTCGTTTAGTAATTTTCGCTATTTAACATACTGCGGCGTAATTATAACGCGGAGTTAACTTCTGCGCGCTAGTTATAACAAATAACAGATTCCGAAAAAACAGAAACAGCTCTAGATCGTGACTTGAGTATGAAGAAACGAAATGTGACAGCTGAAAAGGAAAAATGATTATCCAATTACTAAAAAATAATTCTGCTTGCGACGTTTGAATGCCTGATCAACCTCGTTTTCGCGCATATGACATGATGTAGCCATTCCTTCAATGTTACATTATCTTTTCGATTCTGGGCCCATAGTCATGAAGATAAGTATTTAAACGATTCATGGCTCAGGGCACCAAGCACTGCAGATATTGCAACAATTTGATGCCGACTCTTTTCGCTAGTGAGGCTTAGTCCTGATGACGCAACTATTTACGTGGCGAAACGCGTTGGGATTAAGTTGTGTTCTCTGCAGTGTTTTGTGCCATGAACCATGAATCGTTAAAATACTTATCATCATTGTAATTCTTCTAACATGAAAAATGTCCAAATGACAAAACATTACATATGCAGCACTAAACAAACCTGTAAACAGAAGCGACAGGGATAATAAATAAGAATTAATGTGCAGTAAATTATTTTGTACCGCAGGATCTTTACTACTTTGAAAGGAAAAGTTGGCATTGAACATGGAAATGGCACGATTCCGCTTGAAACTGTGCCAAGGACTTTACTGAGTTATAAACTGCCGTCATTCTGGTTCTCATTTTAAAGACTCTTCCAAGCAATAATGTAAGTGTCGATCTGTCTTGGTATTCTCTGCAGTAGTAGCCCTTAGAGGTCGAAATTACCGACTTGTTGACGATCACACAATATGTTCTACAAATCCTAAC